GGGGCTGGGGTTGCGCCGCCCCATGGCGCTTCCCGAATCCCCAACCCCCGTCCCCACCGGCCGCCACGCGTCTGCGAAGTCGCGCGTCCGTGGGGTCGCGGACTCGGCCGCGCTTGTCCGCCGCCGAGGGGGATTCGTAGTGTCACGGTGATGCTATCTCCCCTTTCCACCAAAAAACGGTGTAGTCATTCCACCTCCTTTTCCGTGTTTTCCATGTAGTCTATCAATACACGTCTTTCAAACCGGAAGTCCCTGCGCTGATCGCCGACCGCCATAGCTGCCAGTGAAAACGTGACACAACGCTAGGCACCGACCAACGCTTAACCTATCCTCCCGTGCCCAGCTGAGTACTGTAATGCACCACAACCAATGTTTTCACTTGACAGCCTAATATAGCAATGAAAAAAACCCGACGACAACACAGAGACTATTTCCTGTCAAGCCTCCCGCTGGACTTCCCACAAACGGAGGACCTCGGTGCGCAGTGCATCTCTCACCGCCTGGCCGCGTTCCCGACCGAACATGGACACAAGCGGACAACCGTCCACACGCCTGTCAACATCTGGATGTGGACAGGTCCCACCAGACAAAGCATCGCTCACTTTGCCGTCCGCTTCAGGCATAGCACCCCAATCTTGAAGCAGGTTATGGAGGATACAACAGGCGCGGAACTCCAACCTCTCCCTCGTTATGTCCGTAATATGTGGACGGTAGAAGAATTGGAAGCGCATCTTGAACACCCCGAAGAATCGCTCCACGCAAGACCTGACTATTTTGTGAAGAGTGTCAAACTGCAGCATCGCCCGCGTGAGCCGTGGTTGACGGCAGTATGGAATGACAAGCCAAGGAAGATTAGGATACCCGTCATCGCCAAGCAAGTACCTGTCGGGCACACCAGAGATGGAAGGTCGTTCGGCCAGAAATGGATCTTCCGGATCGTCTACGAATAGTGACCCCTTCAGGGCTCGCCTGCACAATGACATGTTTTTCAAAGCACGTGCATCCCCAACAGTCCCCCGAAAGCCGTAGCAGAAATCAAGGATCTTGATCTCCATATCGACCACGAGTTGCGCAACGATCGAGAACCAGTTGTTCCATCCGGAGCAATAGTCGTCCCTATCCTTCGATCGGGGTTTATCCACATACACATGGGTGCAGTCAATACACCCCCAGCAATTTGGAAAACCCAACCCCTCAAACTGCCGCATACGACGATTTCGGTCTTCGAACCCCCCAAAGCTAACAACATTCGGATACGAGGCATGAATGGCCTCCGCCACTTCTCTGACGGCTCGCAACCCACTCATTTTGCCCATGCCATATGCTGAGCAATTGTGCCAGTGAGAGTCACCGTGGGCCCATCTATGGAGAGCGTACGCGAGTTTCTTTGCTGGAGGCAACGACGACCTGAATCTTGTCACCTCCTTCTCGAGAAGTGGTCTGACCTTTCGCAGCAGTTTATTGAATGTTGACCGACGTATGCTCAGCAGCCCTATGTAATGGTCGTTCTCGGCGTCATCGGCGATCCGAAGATCATTCCATAATCCACCCGAACGCTGCATGACCCACGACCTAGGCGAACGCCTTGGATAAAGATTGCAGATTTCAACAATCGTTGGCCACAGCCAAAGCAGACTGCGCCATCCACTCCCGTGCTCGTCATGGTCTTCTCCTCCGCCGAACAGGGTGTGATCAACATCAGGCCCCAACAGAAGCGGTCTCATTGTCCGGGAACCCAGCAGCACATCCAAGCTTTGAAATGCATCCTCAGCCATCCTACCGGTGATGGCCATCACTGCGAGAGCTCTTCTCGCTGTCTCCTTCTGAGGCGCGGCATTGTGAGACGGCACTACACAGCCCGCCCGCCCCCCCAATAATAATTAAACCCCCTCCGCAACTCCCCAATAGCTGGCCTCACTTGAGCTCCTCACTAATGTACCAACGTATCGAGCCGTGCATCCGGGGAGATGCAAAATTGAAGTATAGACTAGCACGATGACCCGCATAAATCGTGGTACTTCGTCGTGGACATGTGTGACCGGCCCCCCGCTCCCGTGCGCAACACATGATACGAACAGCTGATTCAAGGCACCCGTTTGTGGCAACTACCGTACATCCCTACCGCAATCGTATTAATGCCACAACGAAAACCAGCAGGCCTTGCCACAAATGGAAAGAGGTGTGAGGTACCGGCTATACCGTTTCTACTCTACAGGAAGACATATCGTTTAAACGACAGAGATCACCGTGCACATGGTGACACGGTACGGCCAGATGCATCTGAAGAGGCTGGCGGGCCGGTCGCATTCAGATGTACCGCGAAGGCCTTGCCCAACTTGGAGGGTTGCTCTGTTGAACGGGAACACCCGTGAAATGTGGATGCTGTTGATGTACTGTCATGATGTGGATGTCAGAGTGATCTTTTTATTCATCGTTGGACGTGTTTTCTTTGCATTTCTGAAAATCAAAATAAGGATTTTTTATATGTTTTTTCAAAAGAAATGCCCGCCACACACCGCTTTACGTGATGCTAGTGGGTCAAGGGCCCAGGAACGGTTGAAATACAGAGCCGAGCACAAATCGTTTTGCTATGCCGAGTTGGCCCTACTGTAAGTTTTGCTGAAGCTCAGGGCACACTTGCAGCAGGACTTCTTGAGCCAATTCCTGAAGGTCATTGCAGTTGGATTCATCAAGCCCCGCTGTAACCATGGTTAGGTACATTTAGGAAAGCGTCAGTGTGAGTATGCCCCCAGTCCCTAAACAGATGAATTGTTGAAATTCAGACCTGAGGTCGAATCCGTCTGGTATGTCCAGTTGTGGGGCTCCCCCCCCCCCCCCAGCTTAAACCACAAGTACACGGCCCCAGCCTTGCAGTCCGAAACTTGTCGCCACAAGAAAACAAGGCCGAAACGTCAACCGCTGGGCCCACCAAGGAGATAAATTCAAGTGGCGGTCTCGTTTGCGTTTCGCGCCTCCACAATTTGAGGTGTCAGGCCCCGCGCCCAGGTGCCCATGTACTGGTGCTTTAAATCTGACTCCATCAGCACATTGAAAAAATGAGAAAAGCATGTCCACCAGGTGCAGCTGGGCATTAGCCATCAGGTGCCTACAACCTCAAAAAAAGGGCCCACCGACTAGTCCCTGACCGAATAACGTGATCACTGCCCCCCCCAAAAAAAAAACTCAAAAGGGGAGGAAATGATCTGGGTTCTTGTCCCATCTGAGCAACAGCCCCAGAAGGAGGAATCCTCCCTCTCCTGAACCAGCCCGGGAATGCCCATGCCCTGGGTTCTCCCATTTTGCATAGGGGTGGATCATCCGACTCCGTTGTGGAACTGGCCCCCCTGCCCCTGGCGGAACCTGGGCCCGATAGAAATGTTCCCCGCCGAACCAGTCCCCTGTAGGACTATTTAATACTTGAATTCTGCACTATTCATCCTCTTTGAATGCTCCAGCGCAGCGCCCACCGCCTGTCTTTGCATACCTGTTTCGGGAGCACACTTCTGGTGCCCCCACAAGCAGGCCCCGGAGTCTGGCACCGCGCGCTGCGCCCTTTGTGCTAGGACATCTCTCCTGCACAAAGCTCCTTTCCCGCTTGCGGCGCCTTGAGGCAGCAGCAACGCGCTCCGTCTCGCTTCCTTCCCCGTGTTGAGCTGCCCCACTGCGAGTATCATAAAGACGCCTTCAGCGGATTGTGACGGGCTATTGTGACGAACTATCTTCTGTAATCGCGCGACTTCGTGCGCGAGGCCGCTGTGGGGAAACAGGAGGGCCTTGATGGGTGAGGGGGCGCAAGCGGGATCGGCGGGGCAAGTTGTAGGGATGCCCTCGCTTATTTTTTCGTTTTCGTTGGAGTTCGTTGGGCCGGTGCCGGGAAAGTCCCGCGTCGACGATTAAGTGACCGCACCCTAGCGAGCGCGAGAAATAACGGTTGCCATAGCTTCTTTCTTGTTCTGCTATGCGTACTAGGAATTTTGGCGCGATTAGCACGCGGGAATTTTCGTTTTTGAAATTTGAACTAATGTCGAGCCCCCGCAGGCTCTCGGAATTGTTTTTCGTTCCTTTTTTTCGGAATTTTCTCTTGCAATTAGGATTTAGACTAGGAGTTCAGGCACCGTGCAATTTGGCGGCACGACGCTTCCTGCTCGCACGCACCGTGCCCCGACAGGGTCTGGGCTTTGATTCCGTTCACGCCTTAATCCTGTGTGTAATTGTAGTTTTTGGCGGGCGCAATCGCAACAGTAATCTTCTTGTTCTTGATGGCTTTCGTATTTCCTTCTTTCCCGCCTCGTCTTCACAGCACATTCTTCCTCTGTTCTAAATGGTTCCCACGGTTGCATGCCCGGATCGATGGGCGGAGAGTGGCTTCCTCCCCCGCGCTGCAGCCTGGACATGCAGACGTAGGCTCTCCCTCTTTTCTCTTTCTCATCACTTGGTGCTAATCCCGTATCCCTCGCGCAAGCATGCATGCTATTAATTTCGCAAGCGCGATTAGTTCTCTCTCTAAGAACCTAGAGGTTAGCGCAATCAGGAAGGGTCGATTAACGACAAGTTTCAGAAGGTGAGTAAGCGTGAGAGTTAGGCGATCCGACGAGCTGGAGCTGAGTGCGCGGGGTTGACGCGTGGTCGTGACGGACTGCGGCACGTGGGCGAACCTGGCTTGCACACTCAGGCCAAGCGGGGTGACGACTCTGTGTGGCTTTGGAGATGTCGGACGACGGACTGCCCGCACTTAGAGAGAGAGAGAGAGAGAGAGAGAGAGAGAGAGAGAGAGAGAGAGAGAGAGAGAGACGGGGATATGGTGGAACAGTGTCTTTTTCTCCATACCTTCTATGTAAAGTTTTGATTCCAACGTTGGTCGATTTTGTTGCCGCACTTTCGGATTTCTTGTGTAAATCATCTCGGACTATCTGCATTGGGTGTATGTATGCATGGGGATGAATGAACGCACGTCCCTTTTCCTTTCTCTTTTTTGTTGCCTCCAATCTCCAATTTTTTGTCTACCCACTTGTTTTCGAGTCTGGGTGCGTTGGTCTTTGGATGCCCAAAACTAACTCTGTCCTCTTTTTGGTGGAGCATGAATGCACTAATTGGTTCTGTTTGAGATTTGGATAGCAGTTGCACGGAAGGTCTGCAAGCATATAGGACAAACGGTAACCCACTCATACGTGGTCTTTGATTCGATCGACCGGCTCATGCGCACGCATGCATAAGGCAGCTGCCCGCGGAGGTGACCTGCCGCCTACGCGCGCGCGTGCAAGAGCCAACCCGATCCCACTCGTCGAAGATGCCTGCCCTAAACCCCGCTCCATAGGATATGGCGATCGAAACTCCCTTTTGGATTATCAACCGTGAGAGCCTGAGAGATCCGGGATACGGAGCGTATTGGGAAAGGGAACAAGTCAGACGGCAACAAGCCAGACGACAATGAAACTGCAGGAATCCTGAGTACCCCTGCCGAACTGGAAACGAGCAACTGTGCAGAGGTGATTTCCAGTTGGCCATAAATCAAGACCCGCAGATCACGGATTATCCCGATAGCCAAAGCCAGGATTACCTCCTAACCCCAGGCTTCGTGGCCATCACCACTAGTTTCCCTCCCTATTACATTGTCGTCACACTATGGCGACTTGAGTGGTAACGCACCCCTATGCCCCTCTGTTGTGCCCATCACCCACCCCCAACCTGTGTCGTCCCCCGTACGTCGTACGGGGGTCTCCGTACGGCCCGTACGTACGTATGGACGGACGACCGTACGGGCGTACGGACGGCGACCGTACGACGGTGATTTGGGGGTAAAAAAAAAAACAATATATATATATATATATATATATATATATATATATGTATATATATATATATATGGGGTTGTAGATCTTGAAAAGATCTACAACCTCATATTTTTTTATATTTTTTTGACCTTTGAAAGAATTTTTTAAAAATCAAAAACAAAAAAA